ACAATTGCTCTCTGAGCCTGTCTGAGGTGCTCAAGCTTCAGCACACTTTGTTCACTCTTTGGCTGGACAAATTGAAGCTCTTGAATCAAGATACGCTGATTGACCGTCATCTACTGGCCATTCCTGACAAGCTATGGGATGCCTCCTACGCAAGGCCGATTCTTTACGCGCGGGTCATGTGGGCGCATGTGGGTTCATATTTTGGCACTTGGGCAGTTCAATGGTCAAAGGGTCAAAGGGTAGTTGGAATTACTCTACAGACGTGGACCTGCATTATGGACTATTGGACTGTATGGATCGCCTTTGTTCCGGCTGAGGTCTTCCCTAGACATTAGTCATACTTTGACTTTGCCATTGCATTGCTGTGATTTGATCCTGTCAGGTCTTGTTCAGAGTATCCTGCCACTGACAAACTACATGATTTGGATGCGCAGGGACTGAGTCCGAGAATCGTGGTTGATCTCCACAAGTTTCTTGCTTTGGCCAAGGCAGTGGGCATGACAGATGGTAGCAACCAAGCTAGCTTGGAACTGCTGGATGGTTTCAAGGTGATCATTGCTATGACAAGCTCCTGCTCTCCGCGAGTCAATTTGATGCTGCGTTCCAGCACTCGCATGAGGACAGAGGGTTTACTTTTTCAACCTGACTGGACTGAACCACGTGAAACTGTCCAACCACGTGAAACTTTCCAAGTTTACAGAGTTGTACTGTGTTACGGTTACATTAATTTCCTTTTTTTACCGGATGCAGGATACCCGGCTACCGTTTACCCAAATCTCAAATTAGGAATTTCCCAATATGCCACCACCTGCACAATACAAATAATGACTGACAAATGACTCTTTAGGTGTCAGATTAAGTGTTGCTTCTTTCCATTAAATCGACGGTTTGAAACAAACGGACGAGAATAAGAATAAGAATCAAATACTAGAATCATTCTTCAGGTTAACCTTTCGTGACCAGTTTGTGTGACAGGGACCTGTGGGGTACAGTCCTGGAGAAGTGCAAGGGCGCTGTGCTCCTGGAAACTGCTGTGAAGGACGCTGACGGGGCGATCAACACTTTGACGCGGTTGTCCGAGCTTTTGACAAAGTATGCAGAGCCTGAGACGAATGAAGCCTCAGACTCAGACGCCATTTTTGTCGAGATTCAGGGGCTGATCAAGGGTGCTTCCAATGCTTCTGGGTTGGTGGCTGCATTGAAGGCATCCGATGATAGTGCAGCTGCTCCTAAAGCGACAGCCGTGAGTGAAGCGATTGAGAAAGTTACAGCGGTGGTTACAGACAGGTACTATGGTTCTTGCGGCTTGGCAGCCTTTTTGGATTCTCTTTGGACGGCAGCGCTGGAATCACCGTTGTTGCTGAAAGAGATGGATGTGAAGTTTTGCAAGGGGCATGAATCTGGTGAGAAAACACTGGGGGTCAAGATGTATTTGCGCCAGTTGATCATTGAAGGCCTGGCTAGCCAAAACATTCTGATCGGCAACACGTTTGCTTTCTTTTTTATGAAACTTGCTGCAGTAACTTGCTCTAACTGACTCAACTTATAGATTGAATGAACTATGTAGTTTAGTCTAGTTGAACCCTAACTTGGTTTGGTGCAGTAACTTGATGATATAATTGGTTGACGTTGATTGACGTGACATTGTCACTGTCATTCCTTGTCAATGAAATGCATTGAAGGAGCTGTTGGGTCTACAGTTCTTGGAGCCAAGAAGTGCCCGCCTATGCTCGATGATTTGGCCATCGTGCTGTATGACTACCACGTCGCTTCAATCTCAGTTGGTGATGCTGACCCATCATCACTACTGCAGGAGTGCTGCAACCTCTTGGCCAAGTTTGACAAGCTTGCCTTGAAGGTCCACAAATTGCCAGAAGATCGACGGCAGGGGCATGAATGGCTTGCATCCTTTGAAGCAGCTCGGGGCCGTTGTGACAAGGCCATTTGTGAGGCAGGTGCTGGATGGATCAAGAATGTCTTGGAGAAGAAAGGGCCAGACGCTGCGTCATCCTACATCCTGACTTGCAGCAACCTCCCTATGTGTCTGAAGCCGTATGGCTCAGCTTTGGCGCAGGCATCTTTTCTGGAGAGCTTGGAAATCCCGAATTCCTCTACAGTGGTAGTTTCAGAGTTGTCCAAGCGCACCAGGGCCTACGTGACGCTCAAGACTTTGTCTCCAGATATTGTCAACTTGCTTTTCCCTCAGCACGTTACAAAAGTCCAGGACTACATGGAGAAAGTGGCGCAGAACATCACCAAAGTCATCGCCAAGCTGAAGGACAAATGCAAAGTTCAGTGGGAGTTGTTGGAGAAGTACAGGCAGGAATTCAGGACACTATAGACTACAGATGAGACTATAGACTATAGACTATAGATGACTATAGACTATAGACTATAGACTCTACACTCACTAGACCGTTTGTTTCATCGGATTGATTGGCTGGCCGATTGGCATTTTTCAACCTTGGCCAAGTCTAGTCAGTCTAGGCCAGTCTAGGGTCCAAATAAATACGTATTATTTTACTGATACTTACTGCACCCCATTCCCTTTCGAACCCTCCCTTCCATTTCACCACAACAACTCTGTTTGTGTGTTTTCTTTCAATTAGGATTGGCGTGTCAGCACGATACGTTGGTGTGTTATGGTGTGTTCCAGTGTGGACTCAGCAAACAACCTGCGGTTTCCTTTTGGTGTGGTCAGGCCATTGTTGTCCGCTTTGGATGTTGGGCAGCTCGATGAGGTTCAGTGGATGCTGACGGGTGAGAAAACGGCTGAAGATGAGTTATGCCGGCTAGTGGACCATCGGGACCAAACCGCAGAGTACGTGAACTACTTCCAAGCAGCTTTGGCCATGAGGACCGGTTCTTTGAAGAATGATGCGATTTTCCTGGAGATGGCACAGTTCTCAAAGGAACTTGAGGCGCATTTGGTGGGGTCAAAACCGGTTGCGTGTCACGTGCCGTGTTCGGTGAGTGAGTGAGTCATGGCGGGGTATTCTTTGTTTGGTGCATGGCCTGATGTTGCGTGGCATATCAAATTCATTCCTCATGACATCTCATGACAACCGGACAGGAAGTGCGAGGCGATACCGCTATGATCGTGGGTTGCCAGGGTGTGACCCAGATGATGGAACAGTCCAAGGGTTTGCCTTGTGATGAGCAGTTGCAACAGGCGCGCAAAGCAGCATCAGCCATTGCCAAGAAGTTTGGCATGAGCCCCAAGGATCTTCCTCCAGCCCTACGTTCGCGGTTTGAGGATTGGGGCAAGAAGTCGAAGCAGAGACTTCTTCATTTTTGAGCACCCTTTAAGATTTCCGTCTCAATATCCCACTCCCACTATATAGAGTCATGAAGTCTATACTGGCTATACTATACTATATATATACATACAATTATTAGTTCATTACACTTTTTGCGAGATAAGCTACAAGTGTGACATAGGGAACCGCCCAGGAAAGCCGAAGACCAGGATGGCAAGGGCAAGGGGGGCAAGGGCAAAAGGGCAGCAAAGCCTGAGGCAGCACCAGCTGAGGCAGCAAAGCGCAGAAAGCGGGCAAGCAAAGAAACCTAGTGGCAGTGCCCATTTTGGCAGCATGCCATGCGTTTTGAGTTTTGATAACTGAAGTTATCTAAGTCTGCGTGCGTCTCCGCATGCGGACTCTGGAACTCTGGAGCTTTTGCGAGACAGAAAAGGTAGGCTCGCATGCTCAGACTCTAGTCTTCTCTTTTTTTGCATGTTCCTTTCTTTACATGGTAGCCATGTATTCAGATTCAAATTCCAAACATTTGGATCCAGTTTCCCTCGCGCCTTGCACATATGATCTTGGCATGATCTTGGTGGTAGGGTTTTAAATAGATCCTGGTATGGTTTAAATAGATCCTGGTATTGTTTAAATAGATCCTGGTATGGTTTAAATAGATCCTATATGCGACAGAGAAAGAGGCCCACGCACCCCCCAAATCATATCAGTACAAGAGGAACACTTCGTTCAGATACTTGGTTAATGTCGTCAGGTGAAAATTTAATACCACGAAGCTATCACGCCCCTGAGTCAGAACCCACGCTGGCTGACAAGTGTGAACTCACCACCCACATAGCAATATGCCAGCCAAAAACCTTCGGCTCCAGTGCATTTCGGCTTCTCCCCACCACTAAAGGTATGGAAGCTAATGATCATTTTGCACTGCGGGGCAACAGATTTTTGGGAGACGATTTAACACATCCCCGGAGTTGTTCCCCTGAACAAGACCATGCCAAGAGACCGAGGCCACTGGACAAGGCCACGCCAACAGACCTCACCAGGATCTGCAGCTCTGTAGACCCGTCCTCCATCTTCTTCTTCTTCTTCTTCTTCTTCTTTCCCCTTTCATCAGCAACCATTGATTTGGTAAGGGGTACCGGGTGGCGCCCTTTGGAAAACAAAAACAGGTTTGCCAAACCAACAAACTAGGTGTTGTTTTTCTGTCCTGCAGCCTGAGAAGCAAGGTCGGATATCTTCCTGGGGGACCAGGAAGGGGCTGGCGAGCCACCTGGCTGTGGGACAGGAATGTGAGAGGTCTGGCATTGATCTGGCAATGGCTGAAATATCAAGGCATAAAACGAAAGGTAGTGAATTGTAAGTTTTAAGAGCCTGAAAAGAAACGCATTACTGCCATGACTGGCCGTAGGAGTCTGATGTACGACAAACAAATTGGTATGTTTTTTTGTTCGTGCTTGGCAACCAAAGAACGGTTCCGAACGAGGTACATGTGAGGTTCTTCTAGACACAATCGTACACTTGTAGCCCAAACATGATCCGTTGGCAGTCACAAATAGAGGTCACCGAGGTTCCAGGCATGCGCTCTTCACACCCCTCTGTGTGCTCCACCAAAAGAGCCTCGTGGCCACAGAGTGCACGTGTTTAAGCCACCAACACATTGCAATCAAAGATGGAAGTGGACAACCCCCTGTTGTTTTTAAACAATAGACCACTTTAATTGAACCTTTAAGATGTTTTTGTTGAACATATCGCCATGCCACTTCCATGTATGATTTTCAGGGTGTTTCTTGGAGAATGCACTATGTTACCGGTGTCCGAAGCTGCGAAGCTGGGGACGGAAAAGACATTTGGATCGGACATATTGGACCAAGATGTCCCTCCCAACGTGGTTTGTAAAGGAAACACATCCGTGAACCCCATGCAAAGCGCTCAGGAAAACAGAGTGAAATGTTTGCGGGGGGTTCAAGCCTCACCCGTTCCGAATTTCCCCTTCAAGGATTCAACAGGTCTAAGAAAACGAAAAAATGAGGTCAATGAGGAAGGATGATGACCATCAATGTCCCCACATTGTCGTTTCTTTGCATGACTCTGCGGTTGCAGGTACTTCGGCCCATTTCGGCCTTTTTTGCAGGCATGGCCTCCATGGTCCATCAAAACTCCTGAAGTCATCAGGTCTCCAACATTGTCGCAACTGTTTCATTTTTGTAAGACGCCCTCTGAAACTCCATGGCGGGCCCTTCTCAGGAGACCTTAGCCATGGTCTCCTTGCAGCTGTCCATGGGTGTCGTTACTGGACCAGAGGTGTGGACATGGCATACCCTGCCAGAAAGGACAGTGTGATTCGAGCATGAGTTTCAATTTCGCACGCGCACCTGTTTCACACCATTCTGTACTGAACACTTTGAAACTTTGAGGTAGAGGAAAGGTGGCTTTTCTTCTTGAGGGTGTAACTGTTCTGGTCGAAAGGTTTTCTTCAAATTTTGCTGTGTTTTTTCCCCCTGTGCTCCGAAGGCAGACAATCAAGAAGAGTGGTACTTTGAACTGTGGACTGAGGCTCGGCGTGTCCTGCCACGGAAGCGTGGATCTGCCATGGAAGACTTGGTGACCTTTGCATCAAGCATGGATTGTTAGCCGAAAATGTATCAAGATTCCGAGGCCTCCTTTGTCACGAAGGGTTTCCTTCGTCGAGCAAGAGAGTTTTTTTGCTTATATAGGAGAATTCATGTTCCCTGTTTCTGTTGGAATCTATTTCCCAACAGTAAAGGGGTTGCAATCTTACAGTCCATCTACCAAGGCAGTGTTGCGGCCATGGTATTGAGAAGTTCCATGATATCAATTTGTGACTTTCCTTTTGAGGCTTCTACGCTCAAGGCCACCAATGATGGGATCATGGAGAGCTTTCAGCTGGTGGAAGACACTCAGTCGAGACCGGAGAGCGGTAGGGGTCGGGTGTTTGTTGCGCAAGTGTCGTGTGCAAGTCATATGAGTAACATCCAAAAGGGTTTGTACACAAGTCTTTGTGTGGGAGGTCTTGGGATGCATATGAATTAAAATGAATGTATATGATATAATAATACCAGGTGGTTCTCCGTTTCTTAGGGCCGTCTTAGGGTACTTGACCTTGCCAACGTCGGAGGCCAAATGGCGGTATGTGGAACTGACAAGAACAACGGAGCCATTCAAGCCGGAAGAGCTGACACCTGCATCGGAAGATTGCACTTGAAGAGAGGGACCTGCATTTGAGAGGAAACATGTAGAACACGCGCCTGCGGGATTGCTCAGGGATTGCTGATAGTGTTGGGCTATATCTGGATCGTCTTTTAAATAGAGGACCATGCCACGAGTTGGTTCGACACGCTTCTGGAATGTTGTCTCGCCCGGAAAGCTAGTCAGCTAATTGTGGCAACAGGCCAATTGTTTGTCCCGTTCCGCAATCGGGAAGTCCTTTCAACATGCATGAATCAGAAGTACAGTCGATCCGCTCAGCTCATGCATCATCCCAACCGTTTGCTCAAACGTTGAACCGACGAGCAGGCTTCCAGTGATGAATGAGAAAACAACAACTCCATCCACTGCAGGTCTTCCAGGTATTGACAGACTGTAAGGAGTTCGCGGGACGTTTCAAGTTGGATAAGTGATTTGTTGGGCGAAGTCCCTCATTCCCCCAAATAGTTTGTCAAAATAGAGATAGGAATAGAGATGCTATACAGGATATATGGATACAATACGTATACCCTGGGAGTCAAAGACTATACAAAGAATGGTGTTGAGGTGACCCAAAAAGGAAGTTCCTTTACTTCAGTCGGTCAAAAAATAGTCTTTGGACTTCTAGGGTATAGGATATAGGATTCCTCCGGAATCGACCCGGCCACCGGTCCCCCCGGTCCTCCGGTCGCCCCGGTCGCCGAGGCGCTCGGCGTGCGCCTCTCCGCGCCGCGGGCGGCCCCTGCGAGCCGCGCGGAGGTGGCGCTGGCAGTGGCCTGGAGCGGCCGCATGGCGAGGGAGAGATGGGTAAGGAGCAAAGGACGGTTATGATGAGAAAGGATATGAAGATATATAAGCATTAAGGATCGGGTATATATAGATATATATATATATATATGAGGCGGCCATGATATATCATGACGGTGTTTGGTGCTGGGTGTTTTGATTTTTGAACAAACATTACCCAAAGAGGTGACTTTTTGTGGGGGGTCCCCCCAAAAGACCATGGTTTTACCATCCAACAACCATCCTTTGGGTGATGCTGGCATGTGGTTTCAGTTGGAAGTGGAGGCGGTTTCTTGACATCAGAGCATCCATGATTGGATGTTCAAGCTACGGGCAGGACAGGGCTGAGGCATGAAGTGCAGGAAGTGCAGTTGGATTGAGCCAGAGTTCAGCCAGAGAGCTGTCATCGAGGTTGCTTGAGGATGGTCTCCACGTAATTGTCGACCTCTTCATTGCCTTGAGTCAGTCATATGGGTCTAAACCACCAACCCACACCACCTCGTGTTTCCCAGGCCCTAGGCCTGAGGCCTCGGTTTCATCGAAGTGTTCAAGACGAGAGGTCTGAGCTTTGGCTGTTTCAGGGCTGTGTACCAACGTGATGGACGATGTTTGTCAATGTGTGTTTCTGGGATGTGACACATGTCTTTGGTCAGAAAGAGCTGCAAAAGAGATTGAACAGAAGTAGTTTGGGGGCTTCAGGGTCTTCGCCTCATCGATCTGTGTTCGAGACCAGTGGGGAGGTTGAGTTGTAGTTGAATTGGTAGGTCAGCCAATCAGCCAATCAGCCACCACCCAAACTAAACAACGCAACTCACCACACAAAGCAAGGATCCCTCAAATACAAGCAGGCCAACCAACCGTCAAACCAGCACTTACTCACTCAAATCAACCATTCCGGAGTCTTCTTCACTCTTCGGAGGTCGTCGCCCGCGGCAGTTGCAGCTCTGGGCGCCTGTGGGTTTCATCTTTGTGGAGGTGTCCTGCCTGCGGGATACCATTACGGTGAGCTCACAGGTGCGCTGTCTGACAATTCGCGAGCGTTCGGACGGAGGCTCCATCGGCGGTCCAAATGGGTGGGTTTTACGGATCAAGAGTCTGGGATGATTTACAGATGCCTTGTTTTGGACACTCGACGAGCCCAACCCATGACCCATGGACACGAGCGCCGTCATTGCTAGTCCTGTCCACCTATTAAAAAACACGCCCCCCCTAATAAGAAAAACTCGGTCGCATTTGTTTTAAACAGGGGGGGTGCAAAATAGGGTCACCTGTGAAGAGCTTCAAAACCAAAAAGTCATCCAGGAAAATTCAAAAAACCTCCAGATCGAAGGGTTTTCCTTTTCCCCTACAAAAACCTCTATTAGAATATATTAGAATACTTATTCTTCATTAGACTAACAACCAAAGCTTTCGAAAGGTGATGTCGCTGTGCCATGCGGCTTTGCGCAACCTCGGTGGCAAGTGCATTTGCGTGAGTCCGTGCCGTTAGGGGAAGGAGAACCTGCTGGTGTAAACGCGGCGTGTCATGGTGGATACAAAGGGCGGACAGGGACAGTTACGGCTGTTTTTGGAACCTAGTTGAAAAAACTACACCAAAAATCGACCATGTTGGTAGTTTAGTAGCGGCTTGAAACGGCGGTAATTTAAAAACAAATATTAGCCGTACTTAGGGCTTCGGACATTGTGTTTTTAAATGGGGAGGCTTTGTAATAGGTACTCTGGATCATTATTGTGAACTCTCCTTTGCCGGATAGTTTGGCAGGACTCCAAACATTGGATATAGTCTTGCAGTCACTCATAGCCGTTATAGAACTATTTATTCAACCAGAAATGAGAAGTGATCCAAAAGAGAACCGTCTCCCTTGAATCCCGTGCGGAATTCCCAAAAATGTTCAATAGACCCGTGCGGGTCGGTTGGTTGCGGCACAGGCACAGGGCATAGCATGGCATTAGCATGGCCACAGCAGTGCTCACAGCAGCGCTGCCGAGCGTCACTGAGACATTGAAGACCTTGGCAGATCAGAAGAAATATGAAGAAACACATCATCCCAAAGAATCCTTGGGCCCTCCATGCCGCAGGTCGAGGGCCCGGATTTTTGAGGGTAGGTCAAGACGTGTCCACACGGTCTTTTGAAACAAGAAAAAACATATATATATATATTACACATATACACGCAGCAGGAGTCACAAAGGGGTGCCTATTGGAGGTGAGGGGTGCCCATCCACTCACTATAAGGACCAAACGCCACCCCTTTGTGAGACCTGGCAGCCGCTCTCATGCACTCCTTACCCTGCCAGGTGCTCTCATGCACTCCTGGATCCCTTCCCTACGTGGCTGCACTGCAACTTCACAGTGCCATCGAAGGTCCGCTGCGACACTTCTTTCATGTTCTTCCGGCATGGCTCAAGAAGTAAAACCAATAATATTGGTCACTTAGACCATCTAAGACCCCAAAACCGTCAGCTAATGTGCCATTTGTTGCTTCTATTGCTAGCGGATTCATGCTGGGGGTTTTGTTTCACAAGGAACATTTGGTTGTTGAATTAGTGAGATTACACACAGATGTTAGTGAAGTTTACAGGTGAAACAGTGAAACCACTGCGTATCTTGATCGCTTCAAAGTCGCATTTCAGATGCTGCACTAGATTGCCAATCCTCGGTGAATGCGTCCGTAGTCCAAACCTACGCCAGTGCCCCCTGAGGGGTGTCGAATCATAGGTCCTTTAAGGTGATTCGGGGTGGGTTGAGAAACGTGTCTCTCTTTGGCCCAGCGAGATGACAACACGCAGCGGTGGGGCATGAGTCAGTGATCCTCCCCGAGCTCTAAGACATAGTTCCATCCATTAGGAATATTCCCAAGAGAAAAGGACAATAGACAATTCGCCAACTCCAACATCGACTCGGAACAATTTTATCCATGCAAGGCCCTAGACCTCACTTATCCGTACTTATCCCTGGTCGACCTGTGATTGGAATCTGCTCTCTCCGATTTCTACCCCAAACAATTGCCTCTCTTCTCAGCCCCTGACCAGGCTCAGCTGAGACGGTTCTGTTGGCCTTGGCTCCGGCTTCCGCACAGGGCAGCTGGCTGCTCCGGTCTTTGGCCGAGGACCGCGGGTAGACCGGCGCGCTCCAGTCTCGGTCGTCTCGTTTTTTCGGAAAAGAAACAGCACAGAAGATGTTTCAGAATGATGGAGATTGAGACCCCTGGTTTGTTTTGGAAAAAAACGATGACGATCGAAGACAATTTTTACCGTGCCTTTCCCGGTGCGACAGAAGGCTAGGCGGTGTCCCTTCGATTGCACCCATGTTGGGATCTCGGGCTGTGTTTGTTTCAAAAGGAGGCACGTATTACGACGCAGCCACTCTTGCAAGGAGTTGATCCAGCATCTCCTGCAGATTCCCGAAACCGTGGGGTCCCTATATAGGTGTCCACAAGCGGAGCTAAGTTTTCCCAGCAGGAGAATGCAGTTGGGATTCAATCTCTGGGGCTGGCAGTGGTGCGCAGTTTTTTCAGCTGTCCTCCAGAGATCGATATAGAACTGCTTACCAGCAGTTTCAAAGGGGTGCTTCCAAAGGAGGGTAGAGGTGCCCATTCTCCATTCACTTGGGGTCTAAATACCACCCCTTTCGATCTGGTGTATATAGTATATCTACGACAACTACTCCACAACTCCTGATCACTTTGGTGGTCAGCTCCGAACGGCACCGCCCACGGAGTCCCTCCAGGGACCGCCCACGGCACCGCCCGGATCACAGGATCAAACGGAGCTCGGCTGGGCAAAGGCTGCGACCTTTCCTGTGGCACAAATGGAGAGACTTGGGAGTGATGGGTGATTGGGTCGTTTGTTTGGTTGACGGTCACGCTTCATGAAACATGCCCAACAGAAATCTGAGTGACGTGAGCCAACAATGGAACTAGCACCAGCTACAACCTCCTAGGAAGGGCTGAGGTTTCGGTTCCCATGGTCCTTTGGGCTGCCTTGAGAGCCCAGGCTTTTGGGCGGCCCATGGTCCTTTGAGTTTTGAGCCATAGGCCGGATAAGGGAACCCAGTGGATGACCACAAATCGAGGGCACCAGGTAACTTGCGTATCCTTGCGTGTTCAGTTGTGGTATTCCGAAGGTTTACTTGTCAAACTGACTTGTACTATTCTTTCCATCCGTGCCATTCAGTGTGCACTGCGCATCCAAGGAAAGCTATGCTTACTTATGGTGGGATTCCATCCAGTGCAGCTGGGCCAAGTACAGCTCGTCAAAAGACCAAACAAATCGTGGAGCTGTGAGAATTCTGCCAAACGGTTGGATTTAGGAGCATTAGATTAGTCTAGTTACTAGTTCAGCATTTATTACTGATATGTAGTTTGGGTGGGTTTTGTACATAGACTTATTGCTTGTGTCATACCAACTCACTGGTGACCGCTCCGTGTGGTGCTGGTTGTTCACGGTCTAAATAGGTAGCAGTTGGCTGCTTATTATGGGCCCCGAGATCATCTGCCAACATTGAATTTGTTATTGCTTTGATGACGTTCCAACAAATGCCCGGCTTAAGTTTTTCATGGGAGTTGGTCTAGAGGGGTGTGCAAGGGGTCTTATATGTTTTAATATTATGATATGTAATGATCCTTTAGATGCTGTCCAAGCCATCCGCGATGAGGTTCGTGAAAAGTTCTTGCGCAAAAAACTTATCGAAGGTATCTTTTGTTCATACCACGAATATCCACTAATACCTTTCTTCCGACATATGGTACAAATACACTGCAGTCCTCCGGCAGAGCCGGTGGGCGGAAGTGTCCTCGCATGTCACCACTGTCACAAAGAACAACCGCAAGTAAAATGGCTTGGGTGAAAAGGCGGCGCAAGAGATCCAGGAGCCACTAGGCCAGGAAGTTGCGCAAAGAACAAAGGATTCTTGGCAGAACTCATTACTTGAGGTGAAGGGTTGTTTTCTATGTGCTCTACTTGGTTGATACTGTTTCAACAAGTGATACTTTTCGTGCTCTTGGAACGCGAGCATTCTCAGGAGACAACACCGCATCTCAGCCATGGTGGACATGCTAAGCACAGCCAATGACTCGAGCAGCTACTCTTCAAGAGTGTAAGAAAAGGCAAGCATCTGCTTCTGTACTGGATTTCATTCCACTGTTTGTCACATACATTACTTGGGTTTGTGAAAGGGGCCTCAAGTCAATGGTTTTACTTGAGATACTTCAGATACTTTGTACTTGAAAAGATTGTACTTGGGCTTGAATTTACTTGAGAAAACTTTACTTGAGGGTGTGATTTTACGTGAGAAGACTTTACTTGACTGTACTAATTTTTGAACACTTTACCTGAGGATGTAGTTTGTCTTTAAAAACTTGTACATGAGGAGGTGTTTAAACTTGAACACGTGTCGAAACCTTACTTGGGAGTAGCCTTATATTTGAGAGCTGTCTTCAAAAAGCTGCATAAATCTAGATGAAGTCTTGAAGAACTTCTGATGCACTTTTTAAAAGTGAATTTAAAGTACCGGCGGTGCATCACACATGCATCAAAAGTTCATCACAGATTCAGCGCAATTACTTTACTTCGAGTGATCCCCACCATGACATGGTGAGGAGCATGCTGCCATGGACCGCAAACATGCAGCATGGCCTGGTCTTGCACTTGACAAGCATCTTGAACATACAACGCCCTGATGGTTTCCTTTTCACGGAGTGCTTGGGGAGCATGTTTAGGAGACGCCTTCGTGCTTAGTACTTTGTACGAATGGTCAGCATTTCACTGGGGTGGTCTCGGATCAGCGCATGACCTTGTTGCTCATGGCCGTGCTCCAGCCAGGGGCAGCTGTGAACCCCTTCCTTGGGCAAGCATTGGTGCCCTCACCCTGCTGGGTGGGGGTTGCCTTGGCCTTGTTTTTTTTCATGGCACCTGCCAGGAGCAGGAGCAGGGGTAGAAGGGCACCTCCTTCACCAGGTTTGTTTGGCGGGGGTGAATGGATAAGAACCAGGCGCCAGGCCTGCTGAAGCTGAAGCTGGCACACTACATGAACTGAACAGGTCAGCTGCAGCGCCTCCGGGACACCACTTGGATGCTGATTTCATCAGCATGAGTGAATACTGGGTGATCCCCGGCAAGCCCTGATGAAAGAGCTGGCTGTTGATCAACCCCGATCGGCAGTTCGCTCGATGGCAAAGAACCGGTGGGAGAGCTTCGAGGAAGGAAAGAAGAAAGTTTATGATGAGGCGTCCACTCCGGTGCTCCAGGGACAGCCTCTGGCTGGGGGAATGGAAGCACGCTCTCAGAAGATAGAGGCCGATAAAAAGTCAAACATACGCGGTTCGCATTGAAAACGGACAGTTTTTGAACCTGCTTTTTCACTATGTTCCATGAAGGCTCCGTTTACAAGGGGGTTTTCAACACAGGCCTCGATCTGGCGGAGGAGGAGGCGGAGGAAGAAGGAAGGAGAAAGGAAGGGAAGAGCTTTGATAGAATCTAACAACCTTCGCCTGGCAGGTGGTGAAAAAGTGTTCTTTTTATACTCAATGCTAGTGACATGAGCATTCTATAAACGCTTCCTGCCCCCACCACCATTGCTATGTCATCTGGTGAAGTCTGGCCCCAACATTGTGGGCTAGCCAACTAGGCTGTGGGCACGGCAAATGCAAATGAGATGGCATTTGTGCTCATCAAACAGTTTGAATCAAACCTTGCACAACCCATACACCGTGCAGAGTACCGTGCAGAATTTGTATAGCTTAGCGACAGTATTGCAGTTAAAACGGATGATGTGTTCCTTTCATAGGGGTTTTGAATGCTGCCTCCACAGCTCATTTTAGGCTCAAGGGAAAAGAGTTTAAAATGGTGAGGAAGCGGCCCGCTGCAGCATCCCCTGCTGCCACGCGCAGTCGCTGTGCTAGTGAATCCATCCAGGCTGCAGGGACAATTCGGGAGCTATATAGTTTATTGTTTTCTTTTGTGGGCTTAGATGATTCTCTGCCACAGGCTTCTGGGAGTGGAGATGCCCATGGTGGTGCGAAGAACAACAGCTCTGAGGCAAAGCGTCAACGAAGGCTTCCGGAAACCTTCAAAGCGTGGACGCTCAGGGACAGGGTGGGCTAAGATATTCTTGGGGGGCAAACTCTTGTTTATATATATAAGTGCCATGTCATCGCTGCTTCCAGAGGCCTTGTCAGTCCTGAATGCTTCTGCGCCTTCCACCGTCGGTTTCCCAGAAGGTGGTGGTGGGAGTGTCTGACTGTTTGACATGGCCATGTCATGAGTGGTTTGGGCTCTTCAGTGATTTTGCTTGCCCCTTAGACTTGCAAAGATGGATTGTGGTCAAATCTTTGCAGCCATGCTGGGAGCCACGATTGTTGGGCTTTTGTGGTTCCTGAGTGCTTGCCCAAATAGCAAGCAATGGTTGCGAGTGCAAGTTGTAAAGATCATGCTCAAGGGCATGGGTGAAGAGAAACTTTACTTGCGCAAGTTCTTGTCCAGCCCAAGTCCCAAAGCAAAAGATGACTGTGATGCGGATACGTGGTCAGTTGTGTCTGTGGCTTCGGATACCTCTCCATCACCACGTATTCCAGTGCAAAGTCCTCCACTAGAATCTTTCAAAGCAGTCTCGGGATGCAAGCACAAGCATCGCACTTCCCTCGGCAGCAACCAGTTTGGCCGCCAGATTCGCTGCAAAGATTGTGGTAAGCTACTCATCAAGACTTTGAACTCTGCGAAGGCCAAGGAACCTGAAACTGTGGCTTTAGGTTGACACTGGTAGAGGGAAGGCCAAGTTTCCAAGTGCTCCCACAAGTGGAGTGTTCGTAGTGTAGTGTGCAATACAACATATTTCAGATATTTGCAAGCCCTGCATTCCCATTGGAAGCCATGTCATCCAGCACCAAATGTAAACGTCTCACTGTTTTGCAGTTTTGCCCTCTGAGGATGTGGCTGGACAAACGCATGGTAAAGAGCAGGTGGGATTGGGTTAGGTTTGCATGATTTGCCGGGCTATTGAATTCTTGTGGCCAGCGTGAGGAGGGTTCAAGTTGGATCATATGGATTTCGTGTGTTCTTAGTTCTTTGTGGGTTGCAGTGTGTGCCATGTCATCCTGTGATTAGGAATGTACACTTGTTTTGATTTTGCACGTGTGCTGAGAAACATGCAATGAGAAGACATGCCATTCTTGACTGTAGACAAAGAGTCAGGATCAAGGATAGTTCCCCTGCCCATTTTTCTTCATAGTCTCATCTTTGCCTTCAGATGAAACAGCACGGCCCATGTGAGCAGGCTGTTCGAGGACAAGAAGCGTTGGAATCTGCTGTTGAGAAGCCAGTGCAGGCCTTCTGGTCATATGCCATGTCATCGCTCTGTTCTGGAAAAGAAATGCTGCATGGGTTTGCAGGTGCCCAATGACATTCTTGAGAAATACCAGAAGAAAATGGAGAAAGAAAGGCAACAGGAGAAGTGTATACTGTTATTGTACATTGCAGTGTAACAGGTTCTTGTCACCTTTCTGCAAAGTTGCGCCATCTCCGCAGGAGCTGGTCAGATTGTCAAAGGAGAAAATGAAACAGGAGAAGCATTGTCTCATTTTTGCCCCTAATCTTGGTTGTGTGACATCGCAATATCATGCCATCTTGTCGTTCTGCCATCCAGCTTCTAGAAAGGACAAGAAGCGTCATGAAGATGCAAAGGCACGCAGCATGGTTTTCTGTGTTGGGTGGTGTGGGGCCAGTGCCATGTCATTGTGTGCCATGTCAACGGTTGTTCATTGTAATGTACTGTTGAGAAGACAGTGGAGGGTTTCTGGTAGTAGTCCTTCTGGTCATATGCCATGTCATCGCTTTGTTTTGGAACAGTGTTTGGTAGGTTGCCCCGGAAGAAACAGCTCCCTCATCCTCACTCACTTCTTGCTTCATGAAAACACATAGGTTACAATTTACAGTATGTATATTTTTTATATGTGTGTCTTCTTTTTATGTTTGCAGTCGCAGGCGGCGTCAGAGGCAAAGCCGATGGAAGCCCCGTCTGCGCAGATTGCGGGGACCCCAACTTCGGGTTCATGGAGTGTTATTTTTTGGTGTGGGGCCAGTGCCATATCATTGAGTGCCATGTCATCAGCTGTTCATGTTGGTGATCTTAAGGAGCCGGATGCATTGAAAAGACCAGTTGGAGATGTTGCAGAAGAGGCTTGCCTGGCCATTCTTTCAGTTCAAACCAGAGTTTTGAAGAAACTTTTTTGTTTTT